TAGTAGAGAGGGGTGTTCCACTGTGTTTTCCAGGATGGTCTCGATCTCCTGACCTCGTGATCCACCCGTCTCGGCCTCCCAAAGTGCTGGGATTATAGGCTTGAGCCACCGCGCCCGGCCTACTTTGCTTATGTTTTTTTGATATGCATCTTAAAATTCTTAATTTACAGTTCCCCTCACCATCTTTTTTTTTTCCCATATAATTTATCTTTGAACAATATGAGCTTTTTGACTTAGAGAGTTTCCCACAGTTTGGATTTTATTCATACAGTTCTGTCCTCTGTTTCCTTCAGATTTGCAGCTGGATTCTCAGAGGCTTAATTAATCACTCAGACTTGATCTCTTTGGTAAATTGTGCCCTTATAGTGTGTTCTTTCATTGAGAGGGCATAAATTTAGTTGTCTCTTTTTTCGTGACATATAAGAAAAGATAAAAGGATAAACGCTTGATTATTTTTCCCCTCTATTTATTTACCAGTTTTTAAGACCATGAACATCTTCTGAAAGTGACCCATAGTTTTTATTATGGACTCATAAATTGAAGCATGTTTGATGGGGCCTGGCGCGGTGGCTCATTTCTATAATCCCAGCACTTTGGGAGGCCAAGGCGGGTGGTCAGGAGTTCAAGACCAGCCTGGCCCACATGGTGAAACCCCATCCCTACTAAAAATACAAAAATTAGCTGGATGTGGTGACGTGCGCCTGTAGTCCCAGCTTCTCAGGAGGCTGAGGCAAGAATGTGTTTTGCTCACTTATTTTATGGACATGTCTTTCTGATGTGCTTTTGTTATCTGTAGAGAAGTTAGACCCTGTGTTTTCCCCACCTGTGTTTTCCCTTTATATGGGATTTGACTTCCATATTTTCTGTTGCTCATTTTTATGTGAAATTAGTGTCTTAAGTTTACAGGTTCATATAGATTTTCTCACACCATAGGACTCGTCTATCATTTTTGTGTAGGTTTTCTTTTTTAACATGGCTTGTCTTATCAGATTTCCTGCTATTGGTTCCCTCCCTTATTCCACCTGGCCCTTCTTTTTCTTTATCTCTTTTTCTCCTGTTTAACTTTTACTCCATTTTCTCCACTTTCTTCTTTCTGTGAGCCATACCCTAGAAAAGAACCCTAGTGGGCCAGAGTTGAGATGCAAATTCTTAGACTACTCTAGCCCCTTGAACTCACTCCATATTAGCGAAGCCAGAAACCCTGACTGTTTTATTTGCTGTTCTCAAATCAGTCCATCTTACTTTCCAAGGAATATCTTCTGGCTGCTTTGGATATGATTCCAGAAGCCATGTAACTTCTAGTAAATTACTCTGCCTTCCCTGTACACTTTCAAATTTCCTAGCCTCTTGTATATAAAGTGGAAAGTCTCATCTCTAAATTTCTAGTAGAGTCCAACCAAAACACATACCCTGAGCTGAGACCCTTCTCTGAGCAAAGGAACTCACCCAGTCACTCTTTGGAAATTTCCAATCATGCTCTTTGTACATATCATGTATACTGTGAACTTGTTTTCTCCTCATTGAAAGATAAGATGTCAGCTTTGCATGTTTCCTTTATTCCAGTGGAGATCCTTCAGGGCTTGGTGAGTGGAAATCTGGGAGGCACACTTGGGCCAACTGTCAGCAGCCCCATTGAGCAAGAAGGTGCGGTCGGTCCTGTTTCCCTGCCCCGGAGAGCAGAAACCTTTGGAGGATTTGACAGCCATCAGATGAATGCTTCAAAAGGTAAATGATGTGAAGTCATGAGCTTTTATAGGCAATCCTTGACTGTCCCACACAACTCAAAATGATTTGTACTTTAGTAGCTACGTTGTACTTTAGTGGCTACATCTCCGCTCCCATTCAATCAGTAAATTTCTTAGTGAGATCTTAAGACACTCAAGAGCCTGCCAATCAGACTCAGATTCATTTTGAGTAACAAAAAAGATTTTCCTAAGATATCAGCTAAAAGAGTAATAATACATGTTCCTGCTTCCAGCTCTTCTGCATCCATAAAATTATTAGTAATCACTTAGCTGCCACCAAGCTGCTCCCTCTTTTGGGGGGCATCAGTAGGATTCAGAAATACTACGTCCCCAAGATACCTATATGATATTCTTTCCTTCGCTAATCTGTTTCACAACTTTAAAATTAAAAAAAAAAAAAAACCTATTTTTTGTTTAGGAGGCGAGAAGGAAGAGGGAGATGATGGCCAAGATCTTAGGAGAACGGAATCAGATAGTGGCCTAAAAAAGGTATTTCTCTTTAAAATACACTATGAACCTCCTTGGCACTTTCCTCTGAATTCATAACCTTTGAAATTATTTCACTTTGATGTTGTTTTGGATGCCTGAATTGCTGCTTTTAATAAAATTATTTTCAGGGAAAATACATTTTTAAAACAAACAGTACAGTTAAGAATTCCACATTATTGGCTGGTGGCCTCACTGGCTTAGGGTAGTGTGTTTACATTCATAACTCTACCATGGTCCTGGCAGGACCGGTTTCATTAGGAGGTTTGTTTCAGGTGCTCCAAACTGACCTGACCTTCTTACAAGGTGTCAGTGATAAATAGTTCAACCTTAAACCTTCAGTACCTTAGTGAGAGGCTGTGGTAGGAAAGAAAGAAAATGGAAAGCTATAGCCTAACAGAAACACACTGTATGTCATTTTTGCATCAAGATCTTCATTTTTTATATGTATGGTTTTTGTTTCATAGGGTGGAAATGCTAACCTGGTATTTATGCTTAAAAGAAACAGTGAGGTAAGGACATTATGAGCTATTTAAGAAAATATGTGTTTGTTACCATTGTCAAGTTAGGAATATTCTTTGTTCCTTTTTTTTCTTTTTGCTGTTACAAAGAGGCTAACTGCTGGCTATCATCTGTACATGTAAACAATACAGTTGTCAGTTTCCTTGACCTTTCCCCTTTTTTTGGTCCTAGGGGCACCGTCTTGGAATTTTGCCACTTAGAGAATTGCCTGCTAAGATGGCTTTGATTCTCTGTCCTTAAGGAAGCCTTTTGCTGCTTTTTTTTTTTTTTTTTTTTCTCACTCTCCCTGTATCACCCAGCTCACTGCAACCTCTACCTCCCAGGCTCAGGCAATCCTCCAGAGTAGCTGGGACTATAGGCATGCGTGCCACCATGCCCGGCTAACTTTTGTATTTTTTGTAGAGACAGGGTTTTGCCGTGTTGCCCAGGCTGATCTCAAACTCCTGGACACAAGCAATCCACCTGCCTCAGCCTCCCAAGGTGCTGGGATGACAGACATGAGCCACCTTACCCAGCACTTCTTGCTTTTAATCAGCTTTCTCTAAGTAGGGCCCGCAAAACCCCCGTGATGGTTTCCTTTGGTCTAAGCACACTGAGTAGAATTCATAGCAGCCTTTTCTATCACAAGCCTGATACCAAGAGCCACAGGTCTGGAACATGGGCATTTAACTTGTAATTTGACACAGTAATTTCTTATCCTTCAAGTACTCAAGTTATATCATCATCTTTTGGGGGGTGGGGGAGACGGATCTTGCTCTGTTGTCCAGGCTGGAGTACAATGGTGCAATCTCGGCTCACTGCAACCTCCATCTCCCAGATTCAAGCGATTCCCCTGCCTCGGCCTCCCAAGTAGCTGGGATTACAGGCATACACCACCACACCTGACTAATTTTTTGTATTTTTAGTAGAGACGAGGTTTTGTCATGTTGGCTGGGCTGATCTTGAACTCCTGACCTCAGGCAGTCTGCCCACCTGGGCCTCCCAAAGTGCTGGGATTACAGGCCTGAGCCACCACGCCCAGCCATATCTTCTCTGAGTATTGCTTTAAACTTAATATGTGTCTTATCTGTGAAGCAGCCTTGGTGTCCTTCTGGAAGGATGCCCATCCCGCGTGCACCGCCCCCCCAACTCGTTGTGACATAATCTTCAGATTACTGCCATCTCCAAAATTAATTCTGAGTATTTGACTTTGTAAGCAGACTAGAAGCAGATACATGATAGTTGCTTTTTAGAGTATACTTCTCAAGCATTTTGATTGTGTTTCTTCTTTTTCTTGTGCTTGCTTTTAACGTACATTAAGTCTCCAAGGAACTTTATTTTGAAATTTTAAGGGGAATCTTTCCATTTTCCACCTAAAATACAGAAGGATATTGTTTTGTATTTGTTGCCACAGAAGTCTAAATACAGTGGAGTCCTGAAGGAATCCTTCAGTGTGCTTATCTTTAAATGACAAACTTGAGCTTATGGAAGCTACTTGCTCTCTGGATCTGCTGCTTGAAAATTAGCTCACTGCAGCCTCCGCCTCCCAGGTTCAAGCAATTCTCCTGCCTCGGCCTCCAGAGTAGCTGGGACTACAGGCCCGCACTACCGCACCAGGCTGATTTTTTTGTATTTTTAGTAGAGACGGGGTTTCACCATGTTGCCCAGGCTGGTCTCGAACTCCTGACCTCAGTTTATCTGCCCGCCTCAGCCTCCCAAAGTGCTGGGGTTACAGGCATGAGTCATTGCTCCTGGCCTTGATTTTGCTTTATGGCAAAATTTCCCCCCTATATTTAGTTAGAAGAATCAGGGTAAGAAATAGTAGAAGACCCATTTGTTTTTCAGACATTCCAGTATGGATTAGACACTATAAATGCTTAGCTGGAGTCGGCAGGTTCTTCAGTTACTTCTCTCTGCTTATTAAGGATAAAATAAGGGGGGCCAGTCTTGGTGGCTCACTCCTGTAGTCCTAACACTTTGGGAGACCGAGGCGGGTGGATCACTTGAGGTCAGGAGTTCAAGACTAGCCTGGCTAACATGGTGAAACCCTGTCTCTACTAAAAATACAAAAAATTAGCCAGGCGTGGTGATGGGCGCCTGTAATCCCAGCTACTCAGGAGGCTGAGGCAGGAGAATCACTTGAACCTGGGAGGCGGAGATTGCAGTGGGCCGAGATTGCACCACTGCACTCCTGCCTGGACGAGAGTGAAACTCCGTCTCCGTCTCAAAAAATAAAAATAAAGAAAATAAGGGGTAAAAAATTTTCTCAGAAGAGCTAAGCCTGGTAATTAAGATTTTTGTGTTTTGTTTTTAAATGACTTAAGTATTGTAAGAGGAATACATGTTCATGGTAGATAAGTAACATAAGTTACTTAATAATAAACATCCCACCACTGGAAAATAGCTACTGTTAAATGTTTGCTGTTTATATTTCCAGCCTTCTACATAACATATCCGAGTTGTATATGTATGAATAGTATAAAAAGTTTTACATAATTTGTATCAATACTTCCTAGAGCTTCATATCTTGCTTTTTTTTCCTCTTAATATGCATTAAAAGCATTTCCCCAAGGCATATTTTTACAAAGCATGCTGTTGAACAGCTTCATATTATTGTGTACCATAATTTTCTTAATCCTTCTGATAGTTAACTGTTTTTCTACGTTTTGCTTTTAAAGCAGTGAGCTAAGAACATCTTTGTACATACATTGTATTTTGCACAGCTCTCTGATTATTTCCCAGACATGCCAAAATGCTATTGAACGAAGGTTTTGCAGTGCTTGGCACTACCCATTAGACATACAAGTGCCCATTTTCATCTTTTACCAACATTGAGTATTATTCTTACTAAGTTTTTGTTCGTTTGATAAGTTTGGGTCATTTATTTTATTTTGCATTTATTTGATTTCAAATAAGGTTGAGTCATTTTTAATATGACATATAAATGCTATTGGCCATTTATATTTCTTCTGCAAATTGCTGGTTTGTGTTCCTGGCCTATTTTTCTACTAGGGTATTTTTTTTGTCATAATGTTCTATGAGAGCCTTTTTTAAATCAAAGATTTTTTCCATTTGAATTTCTATTAGTCCTTTGCCTTTTAATTTTAATTTTACATTTTTACATAGAAATTTTTGAAAAAAATCATGTGGTTTCTTCCATTACTTCTGTGTTTGCAAAGCCTTCCCTGTTTTAAGATTAGAAAACCTTCTAGTTCCTTCCAGCTCCTTTTTTTTTTCTTTTTGAAATAGGATCTCGCTGTCTTGCCCTGGCTGGACATAAATATGGTTTATTTTTCACCTTTGACATTTTCAGATATTTGAACCTTTTTTTTTTAATGTGAGCTAAGGTCTCAACTCAATTTTTTTCAGAAATATAGCCATTTTCTCAGAACAATTAATTGAATATTCTTTTCTTTCCATTGATTTGAAATGCTACTTACATGCTAAATTGTTATGGGAAGTTTCTGAAATTTCTGTTCTGTTGCACTGATGTATGCTGTTTTTATTCTAGTCATTTTAAGTATTGGAAGCTTTCTAATACATTTTAACTTGTGCTGATACTCCTCCTACACACAGGTCACTTTGGTCTTCTTTTGTTTTTCTTGGCTGCTGGTGCTCACTTTCTTTGGTGCTTTCAATTTGAAAATATTTCATAAAGATACAAGCATTTAGTTGTATCTTAAAGAAGCCATCTTATCAGGTAAACATTAGTGTGATGGATTCTGAGATTCATAAAGCCCTGAAACAAATGTTTCCATTTTGTTCCTTTGGCAGCAGGTTGTCCAGAGCATTGTTCATCTCCACGAGCTCCTCAGCACTCTGCAGGTGCGTGCCTTCATCTTCCGTCCTGCGTTTATTTGTCTAAAGAACAGCAGCTTGGGGCTGTTGTTGACTTGGATCTTTGAGGTTTGTAGGCTGTTTATGGGTAAATGGGGCCCTCAGTCTAGGGAAGACTGGCTCTCGTGGTGAGAAAGTTACAGAATGCTGTGGGTAGAGTATCATCGACCTTCCAGGACTAGAATTAGTGAAGAGCTGGTGTGCTGTAGGCATGGCTTGATAACCATGCTACAAATCACATAGCATGCTAACATGCACTTGGGAGATTATTTCACTTTAGAAAGCCTTAAGTATGATTATAAAAGTTTCTATATCCCATATCTCTGTACATTTGAAGAGAGTGGCCTTCCTAATACAGCTTCCGTTTCAGACTTCCCAGGAACATCCTCAAATTCTGCTCACTTCCTTTCTTGAAGATCTGCCCTATCTCATTCCTTTCTCCCACTTCCAACACACACACACACAGAGTACCCCAGGTAATACCAGTGACCGCAAACAGCATGTGACCAGATTTGACAAAAACCTGTGAGTTCGTGCACCTTTGAAGTTCTTGTGTGATAAATGCCTGCAATTATCCTGGAGCATTTTTATTAGATAGGCTTGAAAAATGAGGGGAGAGTTCTAGTCCATCATAGTGCCTGGTGCCCCCTGCTGTGGGGTCAGGAGGGATCCAGAAGTTGGCTGTCATCCTGGCCAGAGTTGCAGGGCTCTCCTCCGTGTGCCTCCTCAGGGTGTGGTGCTGCAGCAGGACAGCTACATTGAGGACCAGAAACTGGTGCTGAGCGAGAGGGCGCTCACTCGCACCTTGTCCCGTCCGAGCTCCCTCATTGAGCAGGAGAAGCAACGCAGCCTGGAGAAGCAGCGCCAGGACCTGGCCAACCTGCAGAAGCAGCAGGCCCAGTACCTCGAGGAGAAGCGCAGGCGTGAGCGCGAGTGGGAAGCTCGTGAGAGGGAGCTGCGGGAACGGGAGGCCCTCCTGGCCCAGCGCGAGGAGAAGGTGCAGCAGGGGCAGCAGGACCTGGAAAAGGAGCGGGAGGAGCTCCAGCAGAAGAAGGGCACATACCAGTATGACCTGGAGCGACTGCGTGCTGCCCAGAAACAGCTCGAGAGGGAACAGGAGCAGCTGCGCCGGGAGGCAGAGCGGCTCAGCCAGAGGCAGACAGAACGGGACCTGTGTCAGGTAATGGCACTCCCTGCCGAGAGCAACCTAACAATGATATTAAGAACCCCTGTGTACTAAGCATAGTAAGAAAGTGAGCAGAAATATAGAGCCTGTTTTTGGCAAGATGCAGTGGCTCATGCCTGTGATCCCAGTACTTTAGGAGGCTGAGGTGAGAGGGTAGCTTGACCAGCCTGAGCAACAGAGGGAGACTGTCTCTACTAAAAAAAAAAAAAAAGTTTTTAAGAATCTTTGTAGCTGGACACAGTGGCTCACGCCTGTAATCCCAGCACCTTGGGAGGCCAAGGCAGGCGGATCTGTTGAGGTCAGGAGTTTGAGACCAGCCTGGTCAACATGGCAAAACCGCATCTCTACTAAAAATACAAAAATTAGCCGGGTGTGGTGGCAGACACCTATAATCGCAGCTACTTGGGAGTCTGAGGCATGAGAATCGGCTTGAACCTGGGAGGTGGGGATTGCAGTGAGCCGAGATCTCGCCACTGCACTCCAGCCTGAGCAACTCTGTCTCAAAAAAACAAACAGAATCTTTGTTTTACCCTGAAAGAGAGGCAGAGAGAGAAAGTCTTTTTCTGCTTTTTGCATCTCTAGGAGACTGAAGAAGAGAATGGAAGTGCTGGGGCATTTTGGCCAGGCAGTAATGGATACTTAGAGTTGGCAACAGCTAGAGGAGCCTCCATGTATCTGAGAAAATGGCCATCAGCCATCCAGGATTTTAGGAGCAACCCCACTGCTCTGTGTCACATTAGAAGTCAGGCATGGTCCTGACCTGAAGGAACTTGTAGCTTAATGGGGAAGCACAGCAAGAATAAAAGATCCCCCAGAACATGTGGTGCCTGTGGTCCTGAGACAGCAGGAAATGGCTGTCAGGCCAGAGTTGCTGGAAGAACCCATGTGGCAGGATGGGTGGGAGGCAGTTACAGAGGGAAACGCCCATCCCAGCAACTAGGGAAGGCGGCCACTCCTCTTGTGAACAGATGATATTCTTGCTTGGGGATGTTGAGACAGCTGCACTCTGCATAGTTCCTGATTTGCCTCTCTACTGCTGATGAAACTTTTCTTTCTCTATAGCTGCTGCTTATCTTGGAAAGCTTTTGGTAATTCAGCACACTCACTCCTGAGCTTATTTCAGTGATATTGCTTGGTTATTCCAAAATATGGATGCTTGTGGCAGATGGAGAGCCTGGGTGTACACAGATCTGCCTGTGTTTTGAAATGCATATCATATTGCTGTTTGTTTGACTGATTGACCTTGGACCATGAAAGAAAATTATACTGACATCTTCCAGAGTAGGGGGCAGTTGTAGCTTTCGGCAGATGTTGCCAAATATATTGGGCAAGGGGGAGCAGCCAATGCTGTGTGTTGCTTTTTATGACATAAGGAGGGATTCCACCCCATCCCAATACAATCATCAGTGCTTTGACAAAGGAGGGTTCCCAGGCAGCTAAGAGAACCCAGATTAGATGATCCTCTTTATCTCTGGTTTAACCTTTGAGTAGGATTCTTGGTGTAAGCTCGGCTTTTCCACTTACCCTCTAACCTGAACAGGTGTCTGTAATCTCTTTGCCCTAAAATACTTCCCTGCATCCCTGTGCAGAGCAGTCTTAAGCAGCTCTCCTTCTTTCTTCAGGAAATGGGAATTCTTTTCTAAATCACCCCATCAAAGGTACTATCAGTTTTTTATGACGCCGGTGTTTGCGTATGTAGTAAAAGTATTAACAGTATTGAAGGCGGTATTTTTAACATGTTTATAGATACTACTTGGGGGAGGGCAGCTAATGAAACCTTTGAGCTCTATGCAATCCATAGAAGTGAGCTCTGTAGAGTTTACAGAGGTGGGTAAGTACCCAGCCAGCACACCCAGTTGAATTCAGCCAGGATTTATTGAGTAGGCATCAGGGACGCTGACAGCCTCCAAGTGAAACCCTTCTCTTGAATATGTACAGGTTTCCCATCCACACAGCAAGCTGATGAGGATCCCATCGTTCTTCCCCAGTCCTGAGGAGCCCCCCTCGCCATCTGCACCTTCGATAGCCAAATCAGGGTCATTGGACTCAGACCTTTCAGTGTCCCCAAAAAGGAACAGCATCTCTCGGACACACAAAGATAAGGGGCCTTTTCACATACTGAGTTCAACCAGCCAGACAAACAAAGGACCAGAAGGGCAGAGCCAGGCCCCTGTGTCCACCTCTGCCTCTACCCGCCTGTTTGGGTTAGCTAAGCCAAAGGAAAAGAAGGAGAAAAAAAAGAAGAACAAAACCAGCCGCTCTCAGCCCGGTGGTGAGTCACGCACACCTGCTCTCCCTGTGGCCATGGTGTCTGTGCATTCTGAGAGAGGGTAGATTTTAGTGGCATGGGGCAGGGTTGAAAAGGGTACAGTTCAGATGCTCAGAAGCCAAACCGCTATCCTTCTCACCAGCTCCGCTTACTAAGAGCGCTCATGCAACAAACATTAAGAACCCACTGTGTGTGGCACATGTGCAAAAGCAGAAAGCATAGGTTTCATTTTCAAGGCATTATCCAATTGAGGAACTGCAGCTCACCTCTCAGTGAAGTAATTCAAGTCCTCCTTGCCTTTCTGGGCCTAGAGAAGTCATTGCAAACAGCTAGCATTTGGTGATTTAACTCTCAAATGGCTGTATGAAGTTGGCACTGCTAACCCCAAAGGAAGTGAGGAAACTGAAGCTCACGGAGGCTAACTAATGTGCCAGCGGCCACAGAGCCCGCGGTTGAATTCTACTAAATGCCTCCCCGTTCATGTGCCACTTTTCCCCCTGAATCCTTCTCTTTAGGATTGATCTCTCCTTTCTGTAGGGCAGGTTAAAGAAAAATGTACATTTTCCAGGCCTCTTCATAAATTCTAGTGCTTATTAAAAGTTAAAGGGAGCATTAGACAGTGAAGGATATCACCAATAACCTTATTAACCAAATTTGTTCAGAAACCCCAGTGTGCAGAGAGTCAATTGCCCATAAGCCCCCGTCACCTATTTGCATTACAGAAGACACTGGTTTGGGGAGGAAGTTCAATGAAAGGAACAGTTTTTCTGAATTTTTTTCATTCTTGGTTTTCACATTTCCAGATGGTCCCACATCAGAAGTATCAGCAGAGGGTGAAGAGATCTTCTGCTGACCCTCTTCCTCTCTGCTGAGGCAGCTGCCTCCTGATCCTGGCCAGCCCACCTCTCCTGCTGTCCCCACGTGCACAAGTCTCTTACACTGGACACCCACTGCTCCTCAGCGTCCAGTCCTCCTGGGCGGCCCCAGGTCCTGGACAAGAAGGAACAGATGATCTTGAGTATCAGGGTGGGGAAGGAGGCCCAGACTCTGCTTCGGCCATGATTTGTGACTGCCCAGGACTCTCAGGTTGGGCTGGCCCTACTCAGGATTACACTGAAAGTAGTGGCCTCGTAAGTACAGGTGATGGTTTTGGACATGTCAGGAATTCCTAAAGGCTGAAAGAGTGTATCCAAGTAAGGTCTGAACCTCTGACTGCCTTTTATTTGGGGGAACACGAAACCAAACAGAAGATGTTTTGGACTTGATCTGTGTCCATACATGGGGACCTGTCTGCATATATACATGGGGAATGCTAGAAGAAGGCCCAGTTTGTACCAGATGTCTGGTCACCTTAGCTCAGCACAGGGGCAGTGCCTGGATGGACCCAGAGCTCCTGCATATCAGCACTTCACCCAGTAATCCTCAGAGACTGGTTTCCCTCTAAACCCATCCCGTGCACGTATCACCCATGTTTTGCATGTATTTCTCATTTCATTTTAGGGATGACAAACATTTGTGAAACCAGTGAGAGAAGGCTTGATGTGTATAAAAGACGTGATCTGCACCACCTCGATCTCGGTGTTTCAGGCACTAAAGCAACAAAACAACCCATAGTATCTCATTTTGTCATCAGATCCAGAAGGAATACCCTGGTTTTCCGGGATGTTTACCCACATGTTTTGGGCACGGATAAAGTGAAGAGGCCCACTCACCAGTATCCCTGCAGGGTGACACTTTTTGGTTGTTACTGACCACTCAGAAGTGGCTACGGCCTCCTGGCTGTGTTCCTGAGCCCCTGTCGTGCCTCTCCCAGACAGCAGCTGCCTGGCCCTTGCGGGTGAGGGCACGCCCTATGGGCACACCACCACCAGGGGCCAGGCAGAAGCTGTGTTCTGAAGCTAGGAGAGCTGGCTGGGAGGTGGGTTCAGGCGAAGGGTGAAGCCGTGTGTGGCGGTTCCTGCCAGTGCGCGTCTGGAGAGGAGCTGGCCCAGAGGGCGTGGTTGTGAAAGCGCCCTTCTTGTGTTAGGAGGCCTTGGCAAAATTGGATTTCTTCAAAAATGTATCTGAAGGTCTGTTGTTGAATTGTGCTCTGCCCCTGAAAGAGGGTACAGATGCTGCCTGCTGCTCAGCTTTGCTTTTGCTTTTCGCGCCGTGTTTTGATCTGTGTTCACTTGAGGCTTTCCCCAGCTGGTGTGTGCAGGACAGTTCATGGTAATGTTGCCCTCTGAGGCCCCGTACACCAGAAGGGAGGCCCTGGAAAATTTTGTGCTTCCGACGTGGCCTTCAGTTCTTGCTTTTTTGCCCCTCAGAAGCAAGGGGCTTTGAGCACACTTAAAAAAAGAAAAATCTGTAACTTGGTGCTTATTGATGAATTGCAAGCTGGCCTTGCAGATGGAGATATTTATCTTTCAGTTTATTTGAAAGAGGTCTGGTTTAAAATTTGTAGCCTAGATTTGTTTTATTTATTGTGTGTGTGTGTGTGTGTGTTTTTCTTTTTTAAGGGTGAGCCAGGACTAGCCCAACAGTCTAAACTATCCAGTCAATATTGAGTGAAGTGGCAGCCAGCACCGCTCACTCTGTGTCTTTTGAAGTGCCTTGAAGGCCCAGATGAAATTTTAAAGGGAAGGGTCCATGTCCTTCCGTCCCCCACCCCGCCTCATTCTTTAATCAAAGGATATCTTCTCCCTTGTTTGAGAATGAAGAAACTCACCACCTCTGAGCTGCCTTTGCTTTTTTCTGTCATGGAGAATACCCAGCCTTCAGAAACAGACTTTAAGGCCAAAACCTGCTGATTTTTCTATTGAAAATATCATGTCCCCTTGCAAAGACCCTAAACAAAAAGTTAAGTTGCTTTCTTCCACCAGTCCATACAACTCCAAGTTACAGCTGAATCATTGTGACTTTCCTGAGATCTACCCCAGGGCTTGGCTATCTGTTCTGGTCACTAGCTCCGAGTTCCCCTACTGGGATTCGCAGGAGGGCAGTACTGAACCTGCATTCTTCTCTTTGTAAATGTAGGCTGGGTGCCCCTGTTGTCTGGGTTTGGAACGATAAGAGGTTGGTGCTGATTGGATTTACTTGTGTACATGCTCTTCACAAAAACACCATGGATGCTGAAGTTAGAGCATGTTGCCACAGAGGTTGACATCAATGTTAGAGTGTCTCTTGCCCCCCTAGCTGTGATGTTTCACCTGCTTTGGTTGTTTTGGTGGTCTTTTTTAAAAATGGAGATTTCACATCTGCCCAGACCTCCCTCACTCAAAACGATTTCGGCAGGTTCTGGTTGGACAAGTTTAAAATCAGAAGGTAGTGCCCAGAATTCCCTCAAGCCACCCAACTTCATCCAGGAATACAGTCTGCAGTGCCGAAAGGGAACCACTTACCAAGACCTGTGCTTACATACCTTCGTCATCTCTCTTCCCCCTTGGAGTTGTCCTTAAGGGGATTTGTTCCTGTCCTGGGGGTTTACCTGGGATGGTGGCTGCCTGTGCTTTTGCACATGGCCTTGACAGTGTTCTAGTTGCTGGATCTAATGGCCTGTCTTGGTTTCTCTCACATGAGAAGGGGTTGTTTTCTGGGGTGACTCAGACTGAATTCCCCATACTGTTTCCACACCAGGATGCCATGTTCTCCATCAAGCTGAAGAAATCAGGTGCCTGAAATTGTGCTTAAGTTTTGGGGGAAAGATGGAGTTCCTATCCAGAGCCCCCAGATTTTCAGAATCGAGTGAGCTTTCTGGAAGGAGACTGCGTCTTCTCTCAATTCCAGTCATCTCAGTCGTCATTCCAGTTGGGTGACATGTGCACTTTAAATGCTGTCACGGTTGGCTTCATTTTCAAGACAATCAAATGTATTGACTGTTTTCTTTTTAGAAAATGGAGAGGTTTAAAAACGTGCAAACTGCCACTTTCAGCCTTTGCCAGTACTCCCTCTACCCCCGTGAGAGCTATCTGGGGGAAAGAATCCTTACCAAGGTTTTTTGGAAAGGTACGAATCTTACCTTTTTTCCCCTTCTGTGTCTCAGGGTAATACTCTATTCAGAGTCGCCCCTTTGCTCATTTTCTCCCATATTTGTTACCTTCCTGAGGCCTCAGTATTAGTCATGAGCACAAAGTTTGGAGACCCTTGGCGTTGTTTCTTCATGTGGGAAGGGAGGTGTTAGTGTGTGCAAGGGTTGAACTAGATAGACCCTGCCTTAGTAGAGGGTGGGACCATAACCTTAGAGGCCAGAACTTGATCCAGAAGTTGCTGTCCACAGAAGTGCTTTCTAGTTCATCATTTTTGTCTCTAGGGCTCTTTTTCTGTAGCCAGGTCTTTCTTCCCAGGGATTTTGGTATTTGCATTGGAGTTGAGGTTTACTCTAATGATGGGTGCCCCAACTGTGCCCAGAGGACAGCCAGGCCCTGGGAGGGGGTTTAGAAAGACAGTCCTGGTGACTGGGCTTCAGTGGTCACAAAGAGGGTGGCTGTGAGGTGACCCCAGACACTTCAGAACGATGTGCACCCTCTGCGTTTGGATGTCCTTGGAATGTGGGAGCCTAGAAATAACCCTGTGGATGAAATGGGGGCGGCGGCTGCTGGAGATCTGTGTGCCTTGCCTTCCTTCAACAGGACCAACTAGGTGTGCAGCCACCTACGGATATGTCCCAGCCAGCCCCGTCGCTCTCGTCCATCCTCAGAGACAAAGAAGAGGGCAGGGAGTTTGGGCTTGGTTTTGAACTTGCCTTTCAATGTAGCAAAGCATTCCTAGTTAACCAGAGCCTTGGAATCTACTACCTGCTGGTCAGGCTTTAAAATGAAAAGTGTTTCAATGCTGCCATAAAAGGGGGGCGGTGGGGAGGAAGGGAAAATAAAGGCATCTTTCCAAGTACTCATCTAATTTAATTGTCAAAAGATTGATAGGCCATGAATTCTCTATCTCACTAAGGGTTAAAGGCGGGCGACCCCCCACTGACTGTCCCCTGCCACCGAAGTAGGTGACCTGCCCTACAAGCAGGTGGGACCGCCTGTGCTGCGCTCCAGGGGGACTGCCACAGGAAGCACTCACCCCCACCTTCCCTGGCCTGAGCTTTTCCCCTGCCTTTCTTCACCACCTGAGGGCATGGGCAGTCCCCGAGCCCTGGCCATGGGGCGTGCCTGGTGAGTTTTCCTGCGGTTCAGGCTTAGCCTGTGGTCACCTGTGTGCTGCTGCCTGCGTGAGGTGCGCAGGGGAGGCGCAGGGATCCGCAGGAGGGTGGTTGGGATACACCGGATACCTCTGCTCTCATTGCTCGTTTCCAAATGTTCTATGGACATTTCTGTGCTAAATCATATTAAATAAAACAGACGGGTTAAAACCCAGATGCTGTATATTAATTTGTAATTATGTATAAAGTGAAGCAGTTTTAAACTGTAAAGATTTTTTTCAGTGTGTTTTCTGGAATTTTGCCACAACATACTGGCTTTGTATTTTATTTAGCTTTCTTTCTAGTTACCAGCTTCAGACCCTTGTAAAGTCCCCCTCAGCCCTTTCAAAAAAAAAATAATAAATTGCCTGTGAAGTCTTGGTTGGTGCTGTGATTTATTCCTGTTCCTGGTTCCTGTAGAAGGGATACTCCCCATTCACCCCCAAAGCTCTTGAGGAGAGGCTTCTCCCAATGCGAAGGTTAATTTCCATAGTTTCAGGAGCCAGATTCTGCACCGAGCAGCTGCTGCTGGGGACGGGACGGCGTTGTCTCTCTCTCTCTCTCTCTCTCTCTCTCTCTCTCTCTCTCTCTGTCTCTCTCTCTCTCTCTCTCTCTGCTATAGAGCCTGCGACTTCCCTTAATGTTCGTTTCTCTTACTTCACTAATTCTCCACCCCATCCCACCCCCAAACTAGAGCAACTGCCAGAAACTAATTCAAGAAGAAAGATCGTCTCTACTTGTAGCTCCCGGGTGAAATCACCAGGTCTGACCCCGGAATGCCAGGTCTGCCCTGGAGACACACAGGGCTCTAGCTGTCACTGGCTCCACCAGCACAGCCTGTGCCTGCCTTTTTTAGATTACTGGCTTCCTACTCTTCGAGTCTGCGCTCGAGTCTGCGCTTTCTAGACCTATAGGAAGGCCCTTAAATCTAGCTGGGCCTTGGAGAACTGTGCCACTCACAGTAATGCAGAGAACCTGGGCAAAGCTGCCCGGAGTCCCCGCTCTGCCACTTCCCAGCTCCCTGGCCCTCCCTGACCCAGTCACCAGAAAGAAAGTCCTGGCCAGGCGCGGTGGCTCGCGCCTGTTAATCCCAACACTTTGGGAGGCCAAGGCGGATAGATCACTTGAGCTCAGGGGTTCAAGACCAGCCTGGTCAACATGGTGAAACCCCATCTCTACTAAAAATACAAAAATTAGCCAGGCGTGGTGGCACATACCTGTAATCCCAGCTACTCGGGAGGCTGAGGCAGAATTGCTTGAGCCTGGAAGGCAGAGTTTGCAGTGAGCCGAGATCGTGCCATTGCACTCCAGCCTGGCCAACAGAGTGAGACTCTGTCTCAAAAAAAAAAAAAAAATTAGCTGGGCAGGGCGGCATGCACCTGTAGTCCCAGCTACTTGGGAGGCTGAGGCAGGAGAATCGCTTGAACCCGGGAGGTGGAGGTTGCAGTGAGCCAAGATGGCGCCACTGCACTTCAGCCTGGCGACAGAGTGAGACTCCTCAAAAAAAAAAAAAAAACACAAAAGTCCTGCCCAGCTGCCAAGTGTCTTTCATTTTACCACAAACTTGGAAGTGCACGTGTTTCTTCACAGAGTCTTGTAGCCCTGGTGATAGCTGCCTCCCCGCAAGCCAGTAAACACTGGTCTTTTCTCTCTCGCTCGCTACTCTTGGCTGTCACTGCTGCCCCAGCGGTCTCCTCCCCCACAGCAGCCATCCTGGCCTGGGTCCGTGGTGGGCCTCATCCACCCAGACACCCTCAGCAGGGCAAGAGGAGTGGTTCCCATGGCCTGCCTCCCTCCGCTTTCCACCGCAATTGGTTCTGAGCCAGGGACAGGCTGTCTGGGAGGCAAGAAGAGCGAGAAGGTTCCATTCTTCTCTTCCAGAACAGCAGAGACACAAAGCGCAGAGGGCCCCAAGAACACTAGACAGCCACTCAATAGGGACGGAAGCCTCTGCCGCAGCACAGACCTGGCCGCCAAGTGGCTCTTACCAAAGTGGCTATTTTCTGTTTGAAGGTCCCTCGTCCCCAGGGAAAGCCCGAGGCCTAGGGGTGGCTGCCTGTGAACTAGCAGGAGATGCTGGAGGCAGCCACAGCCTGCCGTAAAAGAAGTGGGAGTTGCTGATGCTGCAAGACAGAGATCTAAACCGGAAGTGTGGGGAGGACATTAGGAGGCCCCAAAAAGCAAAGGCCAGGGAGGAGCTTGGGAGGAGAGGAGGCATGCAGCGTGCAAGCCTTGCGATTTCCTTGGAAGCAGCCACAGAAGCAGAGGGCAGGCGAGCTGAGCTGCAGATTGTTACACCTCAGACCTGGAACTCCCTGAACTCCCTGCCTGGGAGTGACAGCCCCCTCATCCAGCCTCTACACAGCAAGAAGTGCCTCCCCAAGCCCCCCACCTCCCCGTTCCCACCACAGTTCCTGTTCTTTGGAGTCTTAGGCGACTCCTTTGTCCTTAAAATTTGACTCTCTTTCTTCAGGGGCACAGTGGCAGGTCACCCAGAGGGTCCTGGAGCAGTCCAGTTCCAGCACCGTCCTGCCACCTCTGTGAGTGTCCCCCCGGGCCAGAGAGGAGTCGCAAGTGGGAGGAAGTGGTGTGTGCCCTAAATGGGGAGGATGTGGCCCCAGCAGCCTACTCCCTCCCCCCCAGTTTGGGGCCCTCCGTCGCTGCCTCCCCGCCCCTGCTCCCTCCACCATCCCCAGCTGCCTTTGGTATCCAAGTGACAGCTTTGGCCCCTCCCACCACCGCTCAAGCCTCCTCCTTTCATATGGTAATGGCCTGCTCTACACAGCCCTAGCTCCACAGATGTGTAGGCTACCCCTCTCTCCCCATGCCTTTGGGAAACTTTCCTTCTTCCTGGGGAACAGAATCCGGACCCCGCCGGGGATAAGGACCCCGGAGGCCTCAGTGGGAGAGTTGTGGGGAGGGGGTCATAACGTGGCTCCTTGGAATGGACCAGCTGGAAGCCAGCCTGCTTTTCTCTCCCTTCCTCCCGGGTCACCGCTTCCCTTTAAGCTGTCCCTGGACTTCTCACCCCACCCCCAGCTTCAGAGTTTGAGGTGGCGGTTGCCTGGACAACCTCGGTTCTTCTCTGTGGTCCAAAGGAGAGGGCTGCTGGGCAAGTGAAGCAGAGCTGCCTGCCCTGAGGAGCCTGGGAGAGGGCCATGCTGGGGTCCCCTCTGTCGGGGAGGGCTGTGGACAGGGGCTGAGGGGGCCACTCAGAGGCACCAGGATGGACACAGACTCCAGGCCTGCCGCTCGTAGCCGAGTGGCCAAGCTATTAAACCTCTGTCTCCATTTCCTCTTTCAGAAGGGACTGCAGAGTCTGCAGGTGGCGCGTACATTAATCATGATGCTGAAGAGATGAGCGAAGTGCTTGTCTGGGGCCCAGCACACTCATCTGGAAGCATGTCAGGGGAGTCGTGGGACAGCTGCCATGACAGTGGCCCCGGATTCATGAAGAGTCTGAAGAGAGCTCTCCGGTGGGCAGACTCAGTCTTCTCCATCTTCCAGGGCAGCGCACAGCCACACACACACAGATGCAATCTGCCTCAGAGCAGCCACCTCCACCTCCCTTATCTTAGCTCAGGTTAACTGCCACTTCCTCTAGGAAGCCCTCCCTGACAGCCAGGTCAAACCTCTCCCCACCTTCCCGTCTGCTCCCTTACCCACAGGCCTGCCCCTTACACAGAGATACCTGGATCTCCCCAGCTCACTCCAGGCAGCGCAGTGCTGAGCCCTCCTTTGCCTGCTCCCCTGAAAGTGGGCTGAAGGCCTCCTCACCCACACTTTCATTCCAGAGCTGGGTCCTGGGAGTCAGGGATGGCCAGGGCTATCCCAGAAGCCTGGGGGGACACCACTGTGCCGCCAGCAGGGCCGAGTCTGGAGGGTGGATATTGTTCCAGTGGTCTCAGAATGTTTGCCCCTGCTGGGGGCCTCCAGCTGGACTGCCCAGAGGCTTGCAGGACAGCTCAGTCCCAGCCAAAGGCAGCTGAGCCCCACCCCAACCAGGGGCTTTTAGCTGAAAGTGGGCCAGGCTGCTGGGACCCTGTCTAGGACCAGGGAGCCCAGGGGCTCTCACCCTCTCCCACTGGGATGAGAGTCGCTCAGGGAAGGCAGGCTGAAGAGTCAACCTGCTAGGTCTGGAAACAGATGAAGTTCACATGCTGGGCCCCGACGCCTGTGTGTCCTGAGGCAACAGGCTTAACCTCTCTGCACTACAGTTTATTTATAAAATGGGATGACACCTACCCCATACAGTTATTTTAAGAAAAATATACACCCTTTCGTCCTGCTTGGCAGGAAGGGAATGACAACATGGAGGCTGAACTTGATTAATGTCCTCACAGTTCCCAACAGCAGGCCTGCCAGGTGTGAGC